TGGTGTCTCTAACAGTCTGAGTATAGAGAGGCAGCTGGGATCACTCATTCTGGCCACAGATATCAGCCGACAGAATGAGTACCTGTCCCGGTTCAGGACACATCTGGATGAGAACGACTTGTGTTTAGGACACGCTTCTCATCGACATTTCGTTCTGCAGGTGGGAATGTGCAATTCAGTATTAATTTCACTAAAAACAAACATTGTGCAGTTTATATATAGTTTTATATACAGATTATATGCCAGCTTTGACTTAAAATAAAATAATACATTTGATGTTTGCTTTAAAAAAAAAAGAGGGAAAATAATTAAAAAATTATAGATAACAAATTAGTTAAATTTATTAAAATATATAATTTTATTTTGTTTTGGTCACTATAATGCTGACTTTAATGTACTTGAAGTTTGCGATGTCCCGTTTTTAAGTGGAAGGGCTGCATACCATATTTTTGAATAAAGACAGACACTTTTGGGCTCTTAAAACCAAATGGACGTGTGTTCCAGATGGCTCTGAAGTGTGCAGATATCTGTAACCCGTGTAGACCGTGGGAACTCAGCAAACAGTGGAGTGAGAAGGTCACAGAGGAGTTCTTCCACCAAGGTAGCCAGTTCTCATGATGACCATGCTCTCTCCATGTGCTCTTAGTTCACTCTGTTCAGAAGCTAATCTTTGTGCTCTGTTGTCGTCTTTTTCAGGTGACATTGAAAAGAAGCATAAACTTGAAATCAGTCCACTGTGTGATAGTGAAGCCAACACCATAGCCAGTGTTCAAATCGGTAAGAAATGGAACATTCTCCCCTGAATACGGGAGAAAAGGAAATATATATATATATATATATATATATATATATATATTTAAGGTGTATAATGGGTGTATGTGTATATATAACTTTTTTTGAAAACCATTTTCCAAATATTTTAATTAATATTTGTGATTAATATTTGCTTGCAAATAATTTATGCCTAAATTTAAAGGTCAAATTATGTGATGTTTTAATAGACTTGAGGGCCTACTATGATATCTTTACTCCATTTACTTTCTTTTTTTCTGCATGTATTTGCATGTTGCACTATTTTTAAATATTTATAATAGCTTAACAAAACTGCTTCACTTTTTGTTTTTATTTTCTATGTAATAAAATATTTTTACCAAACTCTTTTTTTTTTCTTTTAATAGGGCCCTTTGTCTTCAGATAATATATCAGTCATCGTATGCATGTTCCATTTGATGTGGATTCAAAAAAAATGCCATTGATCGATTTATGGTCCAAAGGAGCGACAAAACGGCAATGCTTGTCTAAACCAAACGGCACACACCAGTATTTACATGAGCCCACTGGACAGCACTGAAAGGATTGATTTTGCGAACCAGTGAAAGCACAGTGCAGATCAATTTGGGCAGCGCAGCGTTGCATGCTCTGACTGGGTATTAATGTAAACACAGTCTGATACGGCTATGTAAGTGAACGTAAACAGATGGGGGGGAAATAATGTCAGAATGTGGGATCTGTGCATTAGACCTTGCAGTGTAAATGCAGCCAACGTGAAGGGGTCAATTTTCTGTGAACTTCCTTTCCAGTGTTATGACAACAAAAGCACAGTGAACCCAAATTTAGTTTCCTTTATGATTCATGATTTCACCGCAGCATGTTGAAGAGCTCATCCATCCCCGGAGTCTGCTCTGAACGATCGCAACCCCTCGTTCCCTATGACAACAGACACCTGAACAGATGGATGGCGCCACAGACAGACTGGGCCCACTCTTACCACGTTCTTAAGTACACTGAGAATCACTGACAGAGAGAATGATGGAGCACCTGGCGTGGGAGAGAGACCTTCTGTTATGCCACTGTAAATTGGCTTGACAAGAAAAACGTTTCGCCTCTCAATGTCAGTCATTTGCACGCCGGCGTAAACGGAACTGCAGCCCGGCAGGTGCGGTGCAGGAAAAGGAAAACTGATCCGCTGAACACATTTCCCTCATTAAGCAAGCTGCCCCGAGGCCGTCAATTACACTTTCCGTTTTAACGGCTGCAGAAAGCCAAGCTGGAAATTGCCAGTACGTACTGGAGAAAGTTCCTGCTAGTAATGAATAAAGGAACATTTAACTGGATTTTATGTTCTCAGAAGAAATGCTTGTCTGTGCAAAACTTGTCATCTTGATTCTGGGCTAATCTATGTGGTTGCTAAGGTGTTGATAAATGGTTTCTAGGGTGTTTTGTGCAGTTGTCTGGGAGTTGTTAGACAGTTGTTAAGTTGTAGGTGGTAGCTAGGTCATTTCTAGGCTGTTAGGCACGGCATGTATTTTTTAAGAGTGTTTTAAGGTGGTATTAGATGGTTGCTAAGGGTGTTTTGTGGTTGTTAGTATGGTTTCTAGGGTGTTTGCAGGCAGCTGATACAGTGTTCTATTGAGTTGTATTGGATGGCTATTAGTGTTCGTAGAAAGTTGCTAGGATATTCTGGTACTGTAGTTGTTTGGATGTTCTTGGTTGTTGCTAAGGTGTTTATATATGATTTCTAAGGTGTTTTTGGTAGTTGCCTGGCAGTTGTTTGACAGTTGCTATGTTGTAGGAGGTAGCTATGTAATTTCTAGGCTGTTTTTAGATGGTATTAGATGGTTGCTAGGGTGTTCTCTGGTTGTTACGGTGGTTTCTAGGGTGTTTGCAGGCAGTTGATACAGTGTTTGCTGTACTGGATGGCTTCTAGTGTTCTTAGATGGTTGCTAGGATATTTTGGTAGTACTGTAGTTGTTTGGATGTTCTGGGTTGTTGCTAAGGTGTTGTTATATGGTTTCTAGGGTGTTTTGGTAGTTGCCTGGGAGTTGTTGACAGTTGCTAAGGTGTAGGGGATTGCAAGGTCATTTCTAGGTTGTTACAGTATAAGCAAGGTGGTTTATATTGAAATGGTGGATAAGATGTTCTAAGGCTTTAGAGTAGGTGGTTGCTAGGGTGGTTTCTAGAGTGTTGCTAGCCAGTTGTTACGGTGTTGTAGGTGGTTGCTATGATGTACTGGATTGTTTCTTAGATGGTTGCTAGAATATTCTGGTACTGTTATTTGCTACGGTGTTCTGAGTTGTTGTTAGAGTGTTTCTAGGTATTTGCTAGAGTGTTCTGTGTGCTTTCTAAGTTGTTAATATATGGTTTCTAGGGTGTTTTAGACAGTTGCTGGGTGTTTTAGCTGTTGTATGTGGTTGCTAGGTCATGTCTAGGTTGTTATAGGCTATATGGTTTATATTGTGAATTTAGGTGGTGGCTAAGATGTTGTCAGACGGCTGCTTGTGTGTTCAGTGATTGGTGGGGCAGTATTAAGTGTGTTGCTAGGAAGTTGATACAGTGCTAGGATGCACTGGATGGTTGCTAGTGTTCTTAGATGGCTGCTAGGATTTTCTGGAAATGTAGTTGCTAGGGTTTTCTGGGGTGTTGCTAGAGTGTTTCAAAGGCATTTGCTAGAGTGTTCTAAATCAGTGCTAAGGTGTTGATATATGGTGTCTGGGAAGTTTTGCTTTGAGAGTGGCTGTTGTTAAAAGTGGTTGCTAGGTTATTTCTAGGTTGTTATAGGTGATTTATAACGTGGCTTTAAGTGGTGGCTAAGATGTTTTAAGGTGTTGCTACAGTAGATGGTTGCTACGGTGTTCTGCGGTTGTTAAGGTGCTTTCTAGGGTGTTGCTAGGCAGTTGTTACAGTGTTCTAGGTGGTTGTTAGGACATTACTAGGTGGTTGCTTTGATGTACTGGATGGTTGCTAATGTTCTTAGACAGTTGCTATGATATTCTGGTACTTTTAGGTAGTGGCTAAGATGTTGTATGGTGTTGTTAGGTGGTTGCTAAGATGTTCAGTGGTTGTAATGTACTGGATGCTGGTTGCTAGGGCATTGCTAGAATGTCCTGGATGGTTGCTAGTGTTCTAAGAAAGTTGTTAAAATAATCTTGTACTGAAGTTGCTAGAGTCTTATGAGTAATTGCTAGAGTGTTTCTAGGTATTTTCTAGCATGTTCTGAGTGGTTACTAAGGTGTTTATATATGATACCTAGGGTGTTTTGTACAGTTACCTGGGAAGTGTTAGACAGTTGGTAAGTTGAAAGTGGTTGCTAGGTCATTTCTAGGTTGTTATAGGCGAGGTGATTTATAGTGTGGCTTTAAGTGGTGGCTAAGATGTTTTAAGGTGTTGTTTTAGTGGATGGCTGCTAAGGTGTACTGTGGTTGTTAGGGTGGTTTTTATGGTGTTGCTAGGCAGTTGTTACAGTGTTCTAGGTGGTTGCTGTGATGCACTGGATTGTTGGTAGTGTTCCTAGATGTTTGCTAGGATATTCTGGTACTTTAGGTGGTGGCTAAGATGTTGTACGGTTTTGTTAGGCGGTTAGTAGGGTGTTCAGTGGTTTTAAAGGTGATATCAAGTGTGTTGCTAGGCAGTTGATACAGTGTTCTATGTGGTTGTTATGGCAGTGCTAGAAAATACTGATTGGTTGTTAAAGGGATAGTTCACCCCAAAATGAACATTTGATGTTTATCTGCTTACCCCCAGGGCATCCAAGATGTAGCTGACTTTGTTTCTTCCATAGAACACAAACGAAGATTTTTAACTCAAACCGTTGCAGTCTGTCAGTCATATAATGGAAGTGAATGGGAATCACGGCTCAATGTCTGAACTGTCCTGAGAGATAGGTGGCGGTAATGCACTTATAAGTCTGCGATCCGCCGTAAAGCAAGAAGAAGAAGAAGACGTGTCACGCGCCGGCTGTCGAGGACGCGCTCACGATGCGCTCAGGACAGTTCAGACATTGCAGTGTATCAGAGGTTTTATCAATTTATGGCTTACATAAATTTCTACATATGCCATGTCATGCCATAGCATCATTAAACTAGCATCTAACAATGAACAAAAGTGTTTTTTTTTCTCTAACCTATGGTTCTGTAACCATAAAGGTTGCTGTGTAATTTGCCCCCTGACTAAGCATTTAAATAATTTAGGCGAAGCATTTAAATAATCCTGTGAATGCACTTAAAGAATGCAGAATCGAATCGTTAATTGAATCGAATTTAATTGTGATTCGTTCTGAATTCGCAAAAATCGTTCTTGAATTGAATCGAAAACATATGAATCGTGAATCGAATCGATTCGCTGTCTACCCAAAGATTCACAGCCCTAGTATGGACATAAACATTTTTCAAACTCCCTACTTT